GGAGCTGTCACACATGATTAATTATGTATGTGTTTTCTTAGTAAAAAGTGCATTCAGTAATCAGGCACTCTTCAGAGTTTAGTGAAAATCTGTAATCCATATAGTCAGCCTGGTAAAACCTTGTGACCCTCAGCCACTGCTCTCCCAAGTATTAAAACCCATATGCAGGAATGCAAATTTACCTCCACAAACTCCAGCTAATAATCTGCCAATGATGATCATCTCAAAGGACCCGGACAGCCGGCTGAGTCCCATCAGAGCTGCACTCAGCAGAGCGGGGATGTTGTTGAGCAGCATGACCTTCTTCCTGGAATTCATTTAAATTAGGATGAGCACGAATACTGCCCTATGTGGCATTCACGGCTGGACAGAAGTCACATATTGTAGCATGGGTAAAGACTGAGATCAGCTTGCCGTGAAGCAAATGGGAAAGGAGAAAATTTTGTCATAGACTGAAAAGCCAGCTGGAGCTTTTCATGCCTACAGCACCACTTGCATGTATTCTACTGGAGCCTGCATCTACGCTGAGGAACAGCCTTTGGGAGACTGGTGTCTGGGAAATTTGTGTTTAAAAGGTATGCACTCCCCAAGTGGTTTCTCTGAACTAGGTTGGCTTTGGAATTTACGAGGACCTATGCCATGACTTTCCTTGATCACTGGCAGTTTTTGCATTCTCTGTCTTCACTGAACTGATCTGAAGTGGCCCTGGGCTGCTCACAGCACCGCTTTACAAGCAGTGTTTCTACCAAGAGACAACCACTTGTTTTTGCAGGTGTTGGCGTAAACAGGAAGACCAGTAAAGTCATTATTCCTACCTTCCAAATCTAACAGACAAATACCCGGCAGACAAGGACCCCAGGAGCCCACCGATGCTGTAAATGGACACAACGAAGGACCACATCAACGTAATTATCTCTTCACTGGGAGAAGATCCGTATCTCTTCAGCCAGGCCTCGCGGATGAAACTTTTGATGTACTTTAAAAGAAAAACAGAAATGGACTCAATCAACATATTTCCTAATAATTGCACCTCTTTTTTTGCTTCTCTTACCTACCTGCGTGTCTTGCTTGATACATTTCTATCAACACCTTGGCTGCAATCTTACCCCAATGAAATGAAAGGGAATTTTGCCACTAACATTACTGGAGTCCATGGTTTAGCAACACAGTGCAATGAATCACAGTAACTATCAATATTAAATACCAGTAGTGGGTGCCACTAAGAGAAGAGCAAGTTGGGCTTCTGTTTACGTGCTAGACCCTGACTATTTTGTTATCCAGGTTTTCCCTCTATTCCCACTTGTTCCTCTCGTCCACCTTCTGCATCCTGCCTGATGCCTTGGGTGAAATTCAGGTTTGACTCCAGTTGACCTCAGTGAGGTCAGGATTTGTCCCTTGATGTGCACCATTCTGGGGTCTCTCTGACCTGCTCTAGATAACTTCAGGGTGTCCTCATTCAGGATGAGGCTTCATGGTGTGGTGATGCTACGAGCTCAGTGTCCTCAGCACCACTGAAGATGACAAACACCTCACCTAATTCCCCTTTTTCAGCTGCGGTATCAATGCTGACCTCAGCTCCAGAGCTACAGTTCTTCCCTGTCCTGTTTCGCCTTAGATGCATTCACATAGACGTAGTGTGCATAGCCAGAGACCTGCTGCAAGGCAGTCCCTGAGCACTGGAGAGAGCAGAACGTCCTGTGAACAATCCAACTCTGTCATGGACACATGGCTGTCTTCATAGATATTCCTCATCCTCCCCTTTCCCAGTTTCGTGACACCAGACAGAAGTTAAATGCAATGAAACACAGGAGCGATGGCAGCTGCTCTGAGAACCAGGAAGACACAAGTTTAGCTTTGAGAGCAGAAGGGAAAAACTAGTGACTGGAAATAGAGAGGAGCGCATGAGGACACTGAAATCCATGCTGAGAGCTCAACTGGTGGGCTTACCTCGGCAGGAGAATTGATGATGGAGACCTGCAACCCATACTGGAAAGTTCCCCCAATGCCCAGGACAAAAGCCAGGAGGAAGAGGTTGTAGCTCATTTTCTGGCTGGAAGAAAAAACAGCAAAGAAAGCAAGTGCAGCTATTCAGACGTGCCCCGGCTGTCCCGTTTTGCCTGTGGGAACCCTTACAGCTAGTGCAGTGCAAGACCACAGCAGCGAGAGCACAGGGCAGTAGGAAATTTGTGGAAAGGAGAGAACTTCTCCCAGCACCCAGATTCACACTTCAGTGCTCCTGGCTCCAGCTTTGGGCAACTAAATCGGCACTAGCATGGGATCGCTAGTCCCTCCCACTCCCCATGCTCCGTTACGGAGAGTCCTAGCGGGGATGTGTCCAGCAATCATGGCACGATGCTGCACTTTTATCTCTAGAACAAATCGTATCCAAAGGCAATGCTGAGCAATAACTGCTAAACATTTACAAGCTGATTTCTAATCAGATGAATGCCATTGTTTCAATGGGCACCAAATTTATCCATGTTGTAAAACTGTTGGCTTCAGAGGACTCGGTTCTGAATAAATCTGATATTTGGTGCATTCATAAATCAAATGATGGCAATCTGCTGCGTGTCAGAGCACTAGGAAGAAATGATACTTGTGGTCTCTGCAACTAGACATCTCCTGCTATCCTCCATGCTCCTGAAGATGCCACACATCAGCATGAGACAGATCATCAGCAACAAAGTCAGTAAACTATTCTATGTACAAAACGTGTATTGCACCTGCAGCAAATTTCTTCATCTTATCCTCATTCTGTATCATAACACCATTGCTTGATTGATTGCTTGAGTTTTGTGTTGCATCTCTTGGGCAGCTTTTCCAGTCTCACAGATTTTAAAATCAGGAAGACTTTATTATTATTATTGTAATTTAATACTCATCCTAGAATAGTTTTTTAAAAATATCTTTGTTTTATCTTTTCTGGGTATTTTTTTCCTATACCTCCTTGACAAGAAAGGATTGATTTCCATCCTTTGATGTTTACATCTTTCAGATACTTACTGTTAACTCATTTATTGTGGAGAACTTTTTCAGTCCTCTGGTCCTCTTCCATCTGTCAAATCATGCAGCCTTGTTTTGTTGCTCTGCTCTGAACTCCTTTGATTTATCTTCTCTATCATGTATCAGGCATTAAATACAAAAGTGCTCTCAAATCCAGTTTCCTCTGATTTTTAAAAATAATTTCTTGTAAGATATTTGATATCTCTCAATTATGACTTTGTACTATTATTTTAACCATATTTGATTCAGATTTATTTTTCTTTCTGTACTTAATTTATGCAATTGGTCTTTTAGAATAGCAGAAAGGAAAAAAATCTGTGCTGAAAAAAATCTATTTGGGAAAAAAAAAAAAAAAAGAAACATTCTATTTGGGGGAAAAAAAGAGAAACATATACCAACTTGCATGCAAAGGTAGTCATCTCAGCTTGCAGGCTAGGTCTTTCCTGACGCTTTCTTCAGGTACTTTGGAAAAAGTCAGTCTATATATAGAGAAAGAGGAGCCCGAGATAATATTTCAACACATCGTTTCATTCTCTTTCAGTGTTTGCACTCTCTTTGGTTTGTCATGAAGTTCTTGCTATTGGTTTGTCATTATTGTGTTGGTTACTGATGAATCTGCCGGTCATCTCGGCGAGTTGAGCATTCACGCCAGGTCAGTTGGGAAGAGAAGCTGAAGCGACAGCTGACACGGAGCTGCAGGAGATGAGTAAAGGACAACGAGAAGGCACTAATGGAAAGCAAAGTCCAGGGACCAGCACAAACCAGAGCAGACTGGCCTGGCCTCCCCAAGACATAGGCTGGGTAATCACTCATCACACCGAAGGAGGAGGTCCTGTTACTCTGAGCCTCACCACGGTAAAGCCTTCTGAAGCCTGACTCCAAAACATGACTAAGCCTGACTAAGCCTGAGCACTCCACACTTGGGATTGTGGGGTCAGTCGACTCTTCAAGGGGAATGGTCACTGCCTCAAAGTTCAAGTCTGTGTCCCCAGTAGCAGGGTAGATGCTAGGGAGGTTGAACGTCAGTTTTGCATCCTAACTGTAAAATTAAAAAAGGACATCTTTACTTTTATCCATAATTCTTAAATCACCTCTATCTAGCAGTCTACGTGTTTCTGTTAAAAGGTTCTTACAAGATGCGTTTCTGCCTAATGCTTCACGTAAGAAAATTGACCTAAACAACTGACATACATTTTTTCAGTTTATGAAGGTGTGTTAATTCAGTAACAATTAACCAACTTGTTAAGTGCTTCAATTAAAATGTAACCGATCAGATCAATTAAAATGTAACCACTGTTTGTCTATGCTTAGTCACTCTGAGGACACCTGATTTCAGGCCATAGTCAGAAGAAACACCAGGAGTTGGAATTGGTGTTTTCTGACGTGTACTCGCAGGATGGGGTCCCTAACTCTGGAAGTGTTGAATGTGTGTCATTCCTTGCCAGCTGTGTGGCATACGGCCAGCTGCAGAAGGTGCCCGTCCTTCCAGGAATCTGGGGAAAGCAGAAAAATGCTGACTCGGGCATTAGCCACAAAGGTGGCTGAGCTGAGGACCTTTGGATGTTGCAGGACTTCTCCATTTTGCCCAGTTCTCCTCTGACCTGCACCTCCTGGCAGTCTGTGCTGGGCTCTCCCTCACCCAGGCAGTCTCTTCAGTCCATCCCCAGCTTCCACCCTGCGTCTTCTCTACTGCCTTGTCTTCCCTCTCGTTTCCTGTCTTCTCGCTGATCCTCACCAAAGGAATGTCAGAGTATTTTGGTACCATTGTGATGCTACCAGCGCTTTTTGCTTCAACAATTTTACGCTTTCCATCTGCCCCTTCCTGCGCTCTCCAGACTGCATAAATGAGAAGTATCTCTGCATTTCCTAGCTTGCAGGTGTCTTACTCTTGGTTGTCTTGTCTCAAATTCCTGATTGTTTCCAAATTGTTGCCCAAAAGCAGAGACATGCTGTTGCCCTGTGTGTGTGTGTGACTGACTACTAGCACCAAACACAAGTGAACAAAAGTTTAGATTTATTTTTCCTATGTTGTAAACTGTAGACAGTGAAAGACAGCTCTTGCACAGACTCCTCATCTGAGAAATATATCTGCCTCTCCACTCGTGCCCAGCATGACCATAATACACTCTGGAAATGTTATGTTTACATTCATGCCATTTAAAAATGCTGTACTTTTATTGACTTAGTTACAAATATACAGAAAGAAACTTCAACTACTTGTTTTGCCAATGTATGCGTTCTTCTTTGCTGCAACCATCAGCAGAAATACATCACCAGTCAACCTGATGCCTGTGAAAACCACATTAAATGAGAAGCTTTGCCCTGTTCTCTACCGGGCTACCTACAGAGGATCAGCATCACATCTGGGTCTTTTCCGATATGCTCTGTGGAGACAAATGAGAACGTGCTGCGAGGAATCTTCTCCACATCCAGAAGAAGCAGCTGCTATAGGAGCTCCTCACCACACTCCAGCCTCAGCAGAACGTGGGTGTAAAATGGAGTGGGAGCCCCACAGGGTGCGTCAGCAGTGTCTGTGCTCACGGTGTGCACGTGGGACTGGAGAATTACCTGTGCTTCACAGCAGAGGACTGGATGGCAAGAAACAAGCCATGAAGAAAACCAGCCCAGAATAAATTGTCTGCAAACAATGCCCAAAAGTCAGTTGTATAATAAGCCACTTAGCAAGTACTAGAAGCTTTCTTCCTAATCCACCTGTCACATGTTTTTATAGCTGAAAATAATTAACTCTCACTGTTGCTCAACAAGTAGGGGGCGATTTGAAATCACTTAATAACAGAAACAACAGGAGCACTGGGCAAGGTACTGAGAATTTCATCTGGTATCTGAAAAAAGAACTTAATCGTATTAATTTTTGTGTTTGAGAACCCAGATTTAGAAGCAAAAAAAGGCTTCTGAGGTGTAAGTTACTGTCTGGGTGGAGAAGACATACAGAAGATACTTAGAAGACATTTGCTGAAGCATTGCATGGTGGTAATTGATGATAAGAGAATAAGGCAGCAGTCTGTCCCTATTAATATGGATTCTAATATATAGATGTGAATATAGATGTGTTATTTACTACTGGAAACTTAAAATAGATTTTTAAATATTTGGAGAGATTTATTAGTTGATGTACATTATAAATTTGCTTTAAATAAGCAGCAACATGATTTATTTCCATAAGCACGAAGTTCTATATAAGCAAAGATCTGGTGGTGTGTGGCAGGCTGATATGCTTTGGCTGCTAGCTATGTACCCTTCAGTGGGTGTATGCATTTATCCAAGAGCACCTATGAACACCTCCTTGGGAAAGGAGGAAATCGATTTTTCATTCTCTCTCTCTTTCTTTCTTTCTTTATTTATTTAATCAAGGCCCATCTTAAACTCAGCCTTTGGGGCCCAATTTCAGATTTCAATACCTAACCATAGTATCCTAATTCAGTATTTAGGTACCTGGCAGCGTGGCCTGAGTCTCAGTGTTGGCTGGAAGCAAGTACTTTGCATTTCAACTCATGGAAGTGAGCAGCAGGACAATTTTTTAAGCTGTGTAGCAAGAAAATAGTTCATCAGGTGTTAGAGCATTCAGCAGGTGGAGAGGCGGCTCACTACAGTTTGTAACATCAATCGATCTCCTAGAGAAAACTGATCAGATCCCTTGCCTATCCATGTTTTGCTGCTGTCAGGGTGTTTCTCTGATTTACCTGTCCGAAAGTATTTCAGTGGAACCCTCGTGTCACCCTTGACCAGTTTTTAACAAGAAGCCTCCAGCTGGCTTTTCAGGAAGCCAGTCACTGAGAACGTCCCCAGGGCTGACAAAGGACAAGTCCAGTGTTAGTGGTGCAGGCAGGAAGAGAGAGCAAGTGGTGGCTTAGGAGGAGTTTAACAAACAAAGTAAATAAGTAATGTGGACCGAACAGCTGCGTTTTCCACCTTGGCCTAAAATCTTTTCAAGGTGAACCTAAGAGTAATATGTTCTCCCTAACCCTCCTCCTCTCTCCGTGTCCCTGCAAGAGAACATAGCCACCTCTGAGCTTCCCCCAGGCGCTATTCTCCTTCCCTCTGCTACAACACGGTGGATTTGATCTCCTCAGGGCCTTTATACAACACTGCGTGGCTCTGAGCTTTGAAGTTCCGTTTCCTGAACTCCTCCGAGATTTCCAGGAAGGATTTCCCCTTTGTCTCAGGAAGGAAGAGCCCAATATAGAGAGCAGTGCAGACGCAGACCACAAGGAATGGGACGTAGCAGAAATGTCCGAGACTTTTCTGAGGAGGAGGAAAAGAAAAATTACAGTGTTAGAAACACTCTGTGTGGTGGCAAACAGGTCACTAAACCCCTTTGCTACATGGACTAACTTCAGCCAGGGAGCATTTCTGTGTTCCTGGGTGAGAGCCTCCCATGCCTAGGTGCAACAGCTCCCCACCACAGTTTGGGAGATTCGACACAGCAGAAAGAGTATCTCAAAATGTCTTTTTCTGTCTTTCTGTCTCTACGTAATTGTACGGAATGGGGACCCACAGTAGGAAATGACGCAGGACTGCATGCATATCAAGGATTTCTGCTCCATTTCACTTCATGAACCACATTAGGGAATGGTGCCAGGGCCTGGCAGGGGGAGTTAGATCACATCTCTAGTCCCAGCCATTCTCAGCTGAGGAGAGAGCAGGGATATAGACCATCCATGCCCCAAATTAATCCATGTCCAGCCTCACATCAGAAATCACCTTAGGGAACACAAGGGAAGTTTAGCTTAAAGGAGTTCTGATCGCTTCCCTGATAAAGGTAATCCTCATGGCAGTGCTGCGTGTCTGCAGCTTGTGATATTCCAGGCCCTGTCTCGTCTCATGGTCATCAGAGAGAGCCTCTGCCTCAGTACAGAAGACCAAAAAGCCACAGGGATGGCATCGCTGTGGGAACTCACCACAATGAACGGGAAGGCTGTTCCGACCAGAAAGAGGTTGAACCAGAGCAGGGAGCCGCAGATCATGTAGGCAGCTGGCCGGGACATTCTGGTCAAAAAGCTCGGTGGGCAGAACTCCTGTTACACCAGCTGGAGAAAGAAATGGCAGGAAAGTTAAAAACACTACGTAATACTGTTGACTAAAAACAGGAGAACACATACTAACAAGCAAAAACAACACGAAGTTTATGAGAACAGTAGTAGATTATTATTCAGTAAATTATTCTCACTCGTCAACAGTGCCAGAACAAGTGGTAATAGAGATAAACTGCAGCGGGGAAGTTTTGGGTTAAATATTAAGGCTGGCTAATTATTCAGACTCTCATGTTAGAATGAACTGCTGGGAAAGGTTTTGTAATCCACATTATTCTCACCAGGATCTGTGAGAACAGCTTATAATTAATTCAACCCTATGACACTGTAGGGACCGGGACAAGAAATTACCTCCAAGCCATGTGGTATGTGACACTGGCAGCTTGGTTCTTTTCTTACCTGCCCTTCCTTCAAATTCATGTCAGCAAACAGAGCCTCACATCTACTCATACTGAGCAAATACACACACATAACCCATGTACCCTGCCCCCAGGCACAGAAAGTAACGGGGTCTGCCAAGAAAATAAGTGTTAGTAGGCTAACAGACATGGAAATTGTGCTTCCAGGCATCTGCTGCTTGCACACATCACTGAAAGTCTGCAGTACCCAAACGTTTCAGTGCTAACACTCAGGGAACTGACCTGGTCCAATTCCAAAGCTCAGGATGTAGGCAAAAATGCAGGCCATGCTGAGATAGGGCATCCAGCTGATCCGAGTCTCCAGTCGCAGGGAACAACACAAAACCAGTAAGGACACAAGGACACTTACTGTTATTTGCCAACTCTAACCACCCCAGTCACACAAAAGGCAAAGCCCAGCTCCATTCCCCTTAAATAATGAAGTGAAGTTTGTCACCTGCTGGCTCAGGGCGACCATGAAGACCACGGCCCATCCTGCCATGAAGATATAGCCCCCCAGCAGCAGCGGCCTCCGACCAGCATAGTCTATGATCATGTTCTGCACAACGTAACAGTGAAATAAAACAACACATTTAACATCTGTTTACAGATTCCTGCCTGCCCCCTTCTGCCCCATTTCAGTTCTTTGTTTCTGTATTGCCTTACAGCTGATTCAAGGATACTGCCCACTTCTTTGCAGAAAGAGAAAGGTCTTTCAGAGGAAGGGGTCTGCCGGCAGGAGCCAGGCAAGACGGGTGTTCAGGCAGGATGAGAATGTCCCAGCTGCACCTAAACCCTGCCACTATCTGCAGTGACATGCAGCAAAACATATATATATATATATAAAATATGTATATATATACATATATGTATGTATATACATATTTAATCTAAAACTTTAAGGATATTTGGTGCTGAGAAATGGCAAGCTAAGTGGCTAGAAGATTTATTTCTCTATCATGTTAAGTTTGCTTCTCATTCTGGATGTATATTTTAGAGAGAAGGATTAAAAATCCTGGGCCCAGTGTGTCACTGGCACGGCTGAGGTGCATGGGTCAGGGTGGTAACTTATTATCACAAACTGCCAGGGTCTGGAGGCTTCAGTATCCCTCAGATAAACTGAGAACAGATTGCAGGGCACAGCCTGCTAGCCACAGCTTGTGGCAGGAATACTGGCCTCTGCTGCAGGAGAGAAAACTGAATGCTATGGACTCCTCTGCCGCTGTTCTCCTCAGCCTCTGAGGTTGCATCCACAGTTGTCTGGATAAATAGTGGCTCTGGTTGTAATCACAGATGTTCAACCACAGGTGCTGAGGATACACGAAAATAACAGTGAGCATGGATCACAAGCACAGCTTCCATTTAGACCCTCCCAGACAGCTTTCAGACATACTGTACTGCCCCGTTAACCCCTCTGGGCACGAAAGCTGAGCACGGCCTGACTGCTGTGCTGCAAAGTGCTTCCCTGGGATGCAAGGCGATGTAAATCTGAAGTTTGTAATTAACGGGCTCCTCCCTGTCAGCACAGCCTGCATGTCAGCACTGCAGTAAGAGTCTCACACAGGTAACAGGATGCGATCAGTTCACAGCTCCCCGTGCCGATGACAACATACGGGATTTTATCCTGAGGAATTCCAGCCTCCTGGAACACGTAGGCTGCATAGAAATACATCTGGGAAGAGAACAGAGGAGAGAGCAGTAAGGGAAGGTGTCTGAAGATGCATCCCATTGTTTTTTCATGAAGGACCACGCAGAGCCCCAGTAAGGTCCTGTCTCACAGGCAATTTTGACAACATCCCTCTGAAGCTCGCCATAGTGCAGAGGTGTTCTTTGGGAATTAAGCATCTGAGATTTGAACCCTGATGTTGATGACAAAGCCTTTCAAAGCAAGTGGTCTGTAAAGCACCCACATAACCTTCACAGTGCAGAGCAACTGGAAGTCAGACTGCTAAATGCAGGCTGTTCCCTGGAACAAGAGGTCTTTACAACGGCCCATTACTAGATGTGAGAGGAAGCACTTATTGGAAGAGAAAGCCCTCATCAGCAAAGGAAGGCTGTTTCCTCAGCTCTCAGAAGGCCACGGTTGTACATAGATTTTATCTTGTTTTCCATGGTTTATTGGTATTTCCATTTAGCTTTCCCCATTTCATCCAGGGCTGGATGCCAAAGGGTTTTTTCCTGCATAGTGAATGGGCATTGTAACACAGACCTAGCGTCTGTACCCTTTTTTTATGCTCCAATTCAACTTTTCACTACTCTGTTCATGTCCTTCAGCAGGAAGATCTCCACAGGCAGAGCAGAGCACTATTCCTTCTTCTCCTGCAGGAGGCACATTAAACCCAACAGCTCGCACCCGTGGCTCACGCTAGCGCTGCGGCTGCCAGGCTGCTTACCGAATCGTTCCCACAGAGCTGCATGGCGCTGCTCAGCACGATGATGCTCACCAGCTGCCACCTCACAGCTGGGTTTTGGAACAGCTCCCAAGGCTTCTTCGCCCTCTGACCTTTAGCAGCAGCCTGTTCAGCCAGCATCTCTTCCAGCTCCGCTCCCAGGTCGCTGTTGCCTCTGAGCTTCTGCAGGGCTGCAAGGACAAGGGAACCTCTCATCCCCTGGACTTTCCCTTCAGATCGCCTCCCTCTGCAGGCTGAAGGGTTGAGCAGGAGGTGATGGCTGCGGGAAGCTGCAGAACAGAGCTGTGATCATGGTGCTGCCTCCACAGAGGTGGCAAGCTGCCATGCAGCCCCTTGAAGGACTGGGGGAAAGGGACTGCAAATCCCCGTTGTTTGACAAGAGAACATTTCCAAACAGTGCCATTTCGGCAGCCATGCCTCAGGCTCATATCTCACTTGACTTCCCTGGGAAATGCAGGCAATTAAGATCTTCTTGGTACATGTTTCCTGGAAACTAATTCCAGCTGCTCTGTATATGGGGATTTGTATGCTACAAATCTAAGCAAATCCCTTAATATGAATTTGCTGCAGATTTGGTCATGAGCTCCCCAGGCAGCATTTATTTCATTTCAAGGTTGCAAAACATATACCCCGCTGTGAACTCTAGTTCCACCTTTTAACCCTACCTTTGTATCAAAAAAAAAATCCTTTGTAGGAAGATGCCTTTCAATTATCTTAACAGATCAAACATTTTTGAGAATATAGAAGGTTCCTCGGCTTGGAAGAAGAAGTGCTCAGAAAGGGAACTTGATACTGCTCACATGTAAAAGTCATGGCACTGTTCTCAAGAGGCGACAGCCTAAGTCTGTGTACAAAAGCAGGATTTGAACCTTCTTACTGTGATTTGAGCCTTCTTACTGTGCATCTGCTCAGTCAGCAGATCTCGGGTGCTCAGCAGGAGGCTGGCAGTAACCCTAAACTCACCAGAAACACAGGATTCTCTATCTCCACGGTCAATCAAGAGGTATCTGGGACTTTCAGGAAACCAAGGCAGAGCCATGAGCTGGATCAGGGCAGGCACTGCATTGCTAGCTAAAAGGAACTGGCCAGCTCTCCTCCCCTCCGAGGAGCTCTCTGGAGAAAAATAAAATAAAACATAATTGCTCAGTAAAATTTACAACAGAGCCCAGCATCCTCTGTGGCATGTGGGCACTGGAAAAGAAAGAAAAGAGAGGGGGAGTAAAGCAAAAAGGGGAAAAAAAGAAGAAAGAGAAGAAAGATTTAATAAGTAAAAACTGGGCTTCTAGCTCTACATTACCTGAGTCCGACAACCTGCCCCAGCACCAACCCCAGGGCTGTAAAGGATGCGGAGGTCAAGGCCACAGCTCCTCGGAGCTTCTTTGGGGCACTTTCCGCCAGGTACATGGGCTGAATGTTCATGCTTACACCTGGGCAGGGCAGACAAATGCTGGCCTCAGCTTGGAGACAGAGGAGACGAGGACAGGCGCCGTCAGCCATCTCTCCAGGTTGCCAGCTGGACCCTTCTGCTACAGACATGTGATGACTGATCTACCAGTGCCTATTATTCACCCAAACCTTTAATTTCCCTCTTACTCACTGCATAAGCTGCTAAACATACATTTGCATACTAATAAGTAGTAGTAGATGAAACTGAAACGTGGCTGGGCCTCAGTCCTATGGTCTTCTGAGCACCAAATCTGAGGTTACAAACGATGTTCCATTCTAGACCCCATTCTGGGGGTAAGGTCACATTTTAAGTCACCTGTGTCAATCATTATTCTCTGGGAAGAACTTCTATAAAAAAATGCACCATGGGACATGACCGATAACCTGCTTACAAGCAGAGAGGGATTGATTTTCACTCCGTTTCTGCCAGGGCTTCCCTCCCAGCATGCAGACTGCACAAGATACTGGAAGTTGAATTATTTTAATGCCTTGGGTCATTCTATTTGAGTTTCTTCCATCTCTGATTGCTACTTGTTACCATATTTGTTCTGCTATACTTCTCACATTGCCATACCTGCATTCACGCCAGTGAAGAATCTGCTGACCATGATCATTTCAAAGGATTTGGCTATTTGGCTGAATCCTGACAAGACGGCAGCAACGATCACAAAGACAGTTGTTAACCAGCAGGGACATCTTCCTTCAGAGAGAAGAGACACGGTTGTGAGCTCAGATGCACAGGGCAGCACTTTGGGGTGTTGTTAGCAAAACAGGAATCTGCATTAACAGAAAATCTGCATGGCTCACACAAGTAGGGCCATCGCTGACTACCACCACGACCATGGGGCGTCCCTGAAGGGCTGGGTTTAGGCACAGGGAAGGCTCCCTGGGGTTGTCACCCAGACTCACTGCTCCTGCACTCCCCACTTGAACAGGCAGGAATATTTCAATTTTTCAATATTTTCAAGTGTCACAGGTGGAATTTCTGTCCAAAACCAGGAAAAAAAGGAAGTTCTCCTGACCCGTAGTAGCCAGCAATTCTCTCCAGTCCCAGCGGGCTGCCCTACCTACTCTTAGGAATCTTTCTCTTATTCATGAAGAGAATGATTTTATTGCTAAGTAGTACAAGGTGAAACTTTTCGTTGGATAAGAAAGCCACGTCCCTTCCAGGTCTTCACAACCATGGAAAAAGTGGCTGTGGGGGACAGCCCTCCGATCCCACCCCAAAGCATACCAGTGCCTGCGTCTGCACGTGAGAGGAGCACACCAAAGGGACAGCACACAGAGGGAAATTCTTGGGGTCAGGAGGGAAGCAGGTACAATCTAACCTCCTACTGGGCTATGTTGGTTACACCTATGGTGATTTTCTCTAGGGAACTAGGGACAGAACTGGGTTTGAAAGACAGGAGAGGAGAGGCAAATGTTTTTCAGGAACACAAGCACAGAGAAAAAAAAAAAAAAAAGAGCAGATTTAACAAATACCCCCTGAAATACTTCAGTCAGAAAGGCAGAGGCAGCCTGTGGGCTGGGAGCCACATGGAGCTGGGATGCAATAGCTGCTCTTTGCAAGCACCCTGTGTTTTTCCCATGTCCTTCCTACCAATTCCCACAGTTTGTTCTGAAGAAAAATCTTTGGCCTGTTCTGACTTCATGATTGAAAGGACGACACAAAACTGGGCACAAAAACGGTGGTGACTGTGTAGGTGGGTGCTGTGGCGTCGATAACTGCAGACTGCTTTCGTGATTTGTAACTGCAGTGGCTATCTTGCAACAGGGGTCATAATTCTTCTTGGACTACTGAAAGTTGCAAAGTGTAAAGTAAAATCCAGCACCCTCTTACCTTCCCAACATGATGGCCATGGGACCAGCAACAACAGCCCCGGCGAGTCCCCCCAGAGGGTACACAGAGACAGTGAAAGACCAGAGCAGCAGGATCATGTTGTCCTCCGGGGGAACGCCCGTGCGCTCCTGCCAGGTTTTGTTCATGAACACCTGGATGTACTGCGAGGGAAGGACAGTGCTGTGTAACCACCACATGGAGAGAAAGGATGCTGAGAAGTGTAAGGGCTTCCTTATTCATGTACCTGCTTATTCCGTGCTCATGCCTCTAAACCTCTGGCTAGAAACGGCCTCCAGTTTTCCTGATGTGTTTTTAACAGGGGGCTGAGGGTGTAAACCTGTAGCTGTTCAAAGTTGTACTTGGTTTATATCTGCGTGCAGCTATCGTGGATAATTTAAAACATTTTCATGGGCCTGATTTTGAGTTTAAAGGCAAAATTCAGTTTTATGGGATGGAGGTTGGAGAATTTTAGAATTGGATTTTCTAAAACAATTGAAATGAGGCTTTCGAATGCATTCTTCTGACACTAAATCCTGCATGAGGGTGGCTCAGGACAGCAAAGTTTGGTACCTCAGCTGTGAAGTTTACAGAGGAAACAACACATTTTCACCCTCAGCACTGTCAGTCTTCATATTTTTGGTGGCATGCCACCATCTGAAGACACTGAGGAAGTGTCTGCCCAGGAAGAGCCCCAGGGACTAGCAGTACTTACTGAAGTTGGAGCATTGATGATGGAGATGTTGTAACCGTATTGGAAAGTGCCTCCAATCCCAGCAGCACATACCATCAGGATCAGGATCCTGCTCTGAAGCTGAAGAAGATGGACAGAAAACAGATGGCTTTCTTGCACAGAACAAAATGGCTCAGCAGACATTTGGCCCGGTCACACTGGGTAGTGTGTACTGAAGAATAGAGCAGGCTACAAATGATGTCGTGTAATAGGAGGTATCAAAGATGGAAAGAAGAAAAAATAGGTTTTTAAAATCTATGTCTCCCTGTACTGCCAAATGATGTTATTAATCCATTGGATTAACAATCCAGAGTCTGGGACTGCTTTGGGGCCAAGACCTGTGAGTGTCTTTCATTTAATATTTAAGGTATATGCTTACAAAAAGTCAGTGTCACAACAGTAAATAGTGGTAGAGACCGGTGTTATTGCTTCAGTTAATGCAATTTGTTACAAAAACCTGTACTCACGTGATGAATTATTCAAGAAGCATTGCCAAAGCTTAATAACTCCTGAATCATTTCTAGCTAAGCCTGGATGGAGCTTCCCTGGAGTATAGGAGATGTTCTTATGGCTATTTATACCTGATGCACTTCTGATGCAGTGGCATGCTATTTTTTGTACCTTTTTGTTGCAATTATACAGCCTTTGTCCTTTTGTTTTAGTTTAAAATAGAGCGCCTTTCTATGCTGCATTTTGTACAGAGCAGGCCATGTCTTTCTGCTGAACTTTCTCATCACACAGTTGCTCCTACAGGTCCTTGTGTTTAGCAGGCTACAGCTGAATATTCAGCCACAACATTTTCTACACTTTCAGTGTTGCGATGTGGGTGCAATATGTGGCAGAGGTGGTCCTGTGTCACGTGCTGTGTCTCCCTGAGGCCACCACTGGTGTTGCCCGTTGCTTATACTTGCCTTTTAATGGAGCTGCTTCATGCAGCATCACAGGATCAGGGTGTTGGGGAAGTCTCTTGCCTTTTCAGGGTGTAGACAAGCTGTCCCGGCTGGCACAGTATGGGAACTGAGAGCTCACTGGCAGGCTTGTGAGCAAGAGACTTTCATTTTTCCCCCCTCATAGCAGGATGCCCTAAAATTATAGCACAACTGGGTGTTCACATCACTGGGGCTAACTCTGACAGAGACACTGCAGAGAAACTTTCTAAACATTTCTGCTGATTTTTCCTCCTCTGTCACATTTGTAAGTCTCAGGTCATTCTTGCCATGGTTGCGTGGACACTTTTCTGTGTCTGACTGCCCCCGGATGGACCGACTGCCTTTGTAGAGGAGCAGTCAGCAGCATCGTGCAGTCAGCAGCATCGTGCCTCCTCACTCAGCACCTCCATCCTCGCTGCAGCCCCACCACCAGTCCTTGTCAGTTCACACCTAGTTTCTGCCTGCGCCCTCCTGTACATGAGATGTCCCATGTCTCAAGACCACTCTGAGCCTGCTGGGGACACCTGGCCCTGAGCCTGACACCTCCTGCCAGGACTGGCCTCTGCCAGCCCCCTGCATGCAAACCCCTCCCTGTGGGACAGCTCTGCAGGGTGTCATGAGGAGCCCATGCTCAGCCTTGGCTGTTCGCCACCAGCAGGGGTCACCCCAGGGCTAGATTTTGTTTTGCTACATGAATATGACTCCACTGGCCCTGGGAAGAACTTAAATTAGCCAGTTCTGGGAAGACCCCCCTGCTCTGCCCTGCTCCTTTTCCTTTCAGAGATCCATCTACCAAAGAGAGGAAAATTTTGCCTAGTGTCCCGAGAGTTTTTTGAATTGCAAATTCAAATAATCTCAGATTTTTCCTTTTCTCAAAGCCTTTCCCTGTAAATAACTTCCATAGCAGCCTGAGACAGAATGTTCTCCCCAACAGAGGAGAAGCCAGGCTGTTCCAGCCCTGCAGCAGGAAGAGGCTGAGCTCTCCCTTGTCCCAGTTAGAAGCGGGTGCGTTTCACTTGCTCGCACTTCCCTTGGCTACATCACTTCCCTGTCTCATTACTGAAACCAGAGCTAAGGATTGTGCACCTGATTCTGCCTCTGCTTCTCCCAGTTATTCCAGTTCTCCAAGTGAAAGAGATTTCCTCTTCCCCAAGAGCACATTTCTTCTTTCTTAATCACAGTGTTTAAGGATAAAATGCTCCTGTTAATTTCCCTGTTTTCATTGTAGAGTGCATCACCTATCAGGTCCTGTATCACAGCCTTCTTTTGTGGCTACAAGCTAAGAGAAGATGGTTTGCTGCTCCTTGAGGAGCCACCAAGCACTTCTGAGCTCAGAGCCGAGCTGTATTACAGGGTTACCTTCCCAAACCTTCCTTAACACCTGCCTTCTGCATTACTGTCCTGGCATGCAGCTGCCAGGAGAGCCATGAGCCTGTCAGCTTTATCCCAAGGACTGTGATGAGCCTGGACAAATAATTCTACAGTAACTGGTCAGTACTTACACAGCCATATAAAAACTGGGGAAAAATAAAACCTGTCAACAATAATAGTAAAGTAGATGGTTTTTACCAGTTTCTGCAGCTTGTTCATCCTCTTTGGTAGGTTTTCTTCTGTCTGCCAAAGCCGCTGGTGCTCTCAGCGGTGCTTTAAGGGATTATTTAAATCTCCAGCATAGGAATGTGTATTGAGTCACCCATTACATTAGGATAACACACTTGACTTGGCAGGTGTCTTGCCAGCTGATTTACATTCTCTAAACAGAGCTGCATGTTCATTAGCAAGACAGCTCAATTAATTTTGTTGAAATACAGAGCAGTTCAGGGAAATGTTTCTGCAAGATCCAGAGCTGCCTGAATTCCTGTTGAAGGCCGGTATGGCGTGCAGCATGGATTCCCTCTCCAAGCGTCCGACTGTAGCTGCCCGGTAGTGTTTGTCCAATTAAATGTGATCGGAGAAGTAAAGCCTGAGCTATTTTTATGACCGCACTTGTCCTAGAACTCAATCTAGCATCCGCAGGGCAAACCAGAGCATTTCCCTCGGTCCTGGCTGTGGCAGGAACCAGCCCCAGGCCTCTGAAATCCGCTGTGAGGCCAAGGCCCTTCGCCGTGTTCCTGCCTGCACGGTGGGGCGACAGGCGAATGGGAGAGGAGGCTGCTGGGGGACGAATGACTCCTGAGTATCACATCAAAATGTTCTCGGTTCCTTTTGAGCTGTCACAGCATCTCGCCCGCTGCTGTTCTGCCGTTGTTCAAGCATCTCCGTGCCGCTTGCGAGGGGACCTGGGGCTGCTCGTGCCACAGGGTGTGGGTGTCTGTGCGCTGGGACACATCGCTCATGGGATGCACGGCGCGTTATGTGAGCGTGGCCGTGTGTTGGGGGGTTTCTGAAACAGCCAAGATCCCACGGCTTGCTGCAGCTGAGCAAACCACGCTGCCAGGACGACTACGAGAAGTTCCCCTGACAGTGTTCCCACATCGCCCGATGAGGAATTTAAGAAATATTGTTGCCAGCAGCTGGCTTCAAGGACGGGATCTATGTGACTGCTTAATCACAAGGGGGTCGTTTCCTCGCAGGTGGGGTTGTTTCATGCAGTTGTCTGAGTGCTTTTAACCGATAATCTTGCGTGAGACACTACCCGCCCCTGTTAAATCTGCTATAAAAGTCAGGCTATAGGTAAAAGAGCGCATCATCTGACCATACTGGTGGCTGTCGTGCTGTCGGCCGTCCCTCCTGCACCAAACGGAGCCCGAACAGGCTGAGAGCCGGCGAGACGCGGAGAGAGCCCTGAGAGCCGCGGGGAGCCGCGGGGAACCGCCGGGAGCCCGGGAGCGGAGCTGAGGCACCGGGCGGGGTCGCGGTGAGGCGCGGAACATCCGGGCCCGAGCTGCGGCGGGTGGAGGGAGGCGGCGGTGGGGCCGCCGGGGGAGCGCCGCCGTGTGGAGACTGGGAGCATAGCGGGGGGGGGGGGGGGTATATTAATGCTGATTAATGCGCTGTGCAGTATGACAACCAAACAGCAGCTCGCTATGGCAGAGGCACAAGCTTTGTCAGCACCGTCTGGGACTGACAGACCACCGAGTACAAAACCTGAGACCTCAGGAACACGGCTGGCACGATACTTTCACCGGTTCCTGCACCCACCCCAGGGGTGCGGGTTGCCCTCCCCACCCCATGCACCGGAAAATCTTGCTGAAGCTGTGCTGCCAGCATCTGTGCCTCTGGCAGGCAGCAAGAAATCCACTCGGGATGCTTCGCCAGTGAGAGGTGCGGCAGCAGCTTGCAAAAATCGACCTTCACTGGAGAAGCTGCTCCAAGAACTGCTAGAGAAATTGGGGAACTTAAAAATTACGGATTCGGAGGAGCTTCCTCTCTCATCTGCCCCACCAGAGCCAGCTCCCTCATTATCCATCATTACAACACCATCGGCACCTAGGAGGGACAGGTGCTCCATCATACGTGATGCCATCACAGAGGGGCATAGGCATGCTACATCCTTGGCCTGCCCTATTATTATCGACCTCGTGCAAGGCACCGGGTTGTGGCAGCTGCATGATTGGAAGCTTTTACAACAAGCTCAAAAAACGGTTATGGACTATGGTTTACAATCCCAGGCGGCTCGGCAGATAATTCAGTGGATTTTCCAGGAAGAACTAATGTGTCCGCTTGACTGTCAAAACTTGGCACGCGTATTGTTAACTCCTTCCCCATTGTTATTGTTTGTGGTTAGCACAGGGGGAAGCGGGTCAGCTGCGTCAAACAGGGGACCCTCTGTATGGGATTACTGCAGAGATGTTAATGGGGACGGGTCCTTATCTCAGTACCCAGGTTCAGCTGCAGTTCCCTGCGATTATTCACCAAACAGCTGCACAGCTCGCACTGAGGGCTCTTCTTAGTCTCCCAGGGGAAAAGAAAGCACCTCCATTCGCATCTGTAGAACAGGCCCCTGGGGGACCATATGCTAAAGTTATCGATTGGTTGTGGGCAGCAATTCCTGATCATCCTGATCTAACAGCAGAGTGTAAAAGCAGTATGTTTAAAGTGCTTGTGTTTGATAATGCAAACCCCCAAAACTCAAAACATCTCAGTTACACTGCCAAGAACCACACCGGTAGAGGACGTGTTGGAAAGGGTACAGAGAACTGATCAGTCCACGCAACCTGACAACCACGCAAGTGGTGGCACAGGCTGTACAGGACTGTCAGAGATTTGCTTTTATGATGCCCTCCATTAACAAACAGGCCCCGGCAAAGCACTGTGAATGGCTAGTGCTTCCGCAGGGGATGAGGAATTCCCCTACATTATGTCAATTACATGAGGCCTGGGCATTACAACCAATTCGGACAGCGTGGTGTGAAGTAATTATTTACCATTATATGGATAACATTCGGTTTGGTAGGCCAGAATGCTTCTAGGATTCAGATTTAAAGTTCATTCAGGATACCTTGGAAGCAAAACGGTTGAAGATAGCCCCAGAGGAGGTTCAACGGAAACAGCCACGGCTATACTTGGGATGGAAAACATCAGACTCTACTATTTGTCCACAGAAAGGTGATATAACTACGGTGTTACGTAATTTGATAAATGTACAAATGTTCCTGGATAACATTCAGTGGGGTCGCCACATTGTACGAATTACTAATGATGACTTAGCTATATTAATTATCTTGTGTGAGACACTACCCGCCCCTGTTAAGTTTGCTATAAAAGTCAGGCTATTCGGGTAATGAAGAGAGAGCATGGTCTGACCTTACTGGTGGCTATTGTGTTTTTCGGCCGTTCCTTCCTGCAATGGCCATGTAACGTGCTTCACATGTAACATGTAACGTGCTTTACATGAACAGAGCTGTTCATGAGGCATGGTGGAGGAGTCTTCGTGCAGTGGATCTACATGTATGTCACACCCCTGGAGTACAGAACTAAAACTCAGCTCTGTTCGAAAACCCTGGTTAAAAATTAAAGAGCTCTATGCAGTGGGGGCACTCCTTTTACCTCTGAGAGGCTCCAGCTAAATTCTAATGAGTAGAAAAGGCCTCATTGCATGGCTACTGTGGCCTTTTCTGTGACCTTTCATCTTTGTCTTTTGGCTTGATCTTTCACTAGGGTGGGAGCTGTGCACTCTTCCCTTGTTAACTACCCGTAATTGCAGCAGGCTGGGGTAGCTGGTAGCCCCCTGGCAGATGCGGTGCTGGTTATTGCTCCAGAAATGGCTCCCTGTGCCGTGAGGGCTGCAGTGCCAGCAGTGAGAGGATTGCCCCTTTCTGTAAGACAGCTCCCAGTGAGAAATGGTGTGTCCTCATCGGTCCTACAGACGGGGCCCAGTGGAGGCAGAGGGGCTTGTGTTGCCAGCACTAATAGCAGAGGGGCTGCTTCACATAATATCTATATCTATATGTTACATGTGTCTATATCTATATATCATTATATATAGATATATGTTAGGTTTAATCATGTGTTTTTACATCCTTGCATCGCGCAGAGTGCAATTCATGTGGGGCCTGGCAGATTTCAAAGCATCCAGAATAAGAATAACTTATTTTAAGCACTTCTTTGTCCCGGATCAGGTTTTACAGACCTGTTCCACAGCAGGGCTGGTTCCCTGCAGGGTTTGCACCGGGTGCTGCATCAGCGTCAGCCACTAAGCGGCAGGAGAAGCACAAGGTTTACTCCAGGCTCTGAATCCAGGTGCCAGCAGCTGCCTGTGGTTTGTGGCAGAGGTGACACAGCAACTTCTAACGGGTTCCCAGCTGGTAACTTGCTGGCTGAGGAAGCAGGGTGTGAACTGTAAGGGGTAGCAGCCACTGCCCCTTGGTGAAGGCAGCACGTGCTGATGATGGTAATACGTTCATAAAGGAAGGAGCTCGTTCTTTCTGCTGTCCTTTCAGAATGAGGCCAGGTTCGGGCACATCAATTCCATTAAAAAAACACATAGCCTGTATTAGCCATGAGCTTCCTCCTTTTTCCTAGCATCTCATAAGCAAGAATCGCCTCGTGTGGGTCTTTGTCCCCTCGGGTGGTGGTGTACAGGACACCTGTGGCTTGCAGGTGGCACGTCGCTGGTTGTTGTAGACACTGAGAGGTGTCCCGGGAGCCTTCGAGGCAGGTGGGGATCACTCCATTTCTAGCTCCCTAGATGGAAGCCAACACGTCAAAGCATGTCTCTAGCTGGATAGGAGGCAAAGGAATGCAGCTCACCCAGGCAGCGTGGGCTCCATCCATACCCTTGGGCCCTTACACCATGAAGCTGATGCATCCTTCTCATTCCTGCTGTATTCAAATAAAAATACGTCTTTCTGCAGTGGCCTGGGCAAGGGCTGCCTGCTTGGAACAGCACTTTGTCTTGTTTTTCCAAGGTAGATACATGCACATTTCTCTATTTAACAGAAGATAAAGGCTGTATTGGTCACAGTCCAAAGGAAATCCTACAGGTATGTGTTCGCAGCTTCTGCTGGGCATCCCAAAGGGCTTTCTTCAAGCCCCTGCTTATTTCACTTCTGCACCTGAGCTGTGCAGAGCCACTCTCTCCAAAACGCGTCCCTCTCTGGATGCTGGTGGAGGCACCTCCTGCAGTCACTCAAACTCCTGACTTTGCAGGGAGCCAGCAGATCTCCAGCACTACCGCGGAGACCTACGGCCCTCTTCCCTCAAATACTTTCTCACTGAACTCAAACCTGTCATAATTAGGGGAAATCTGATGCCATGAGCACAGGAAAGCAGCTATTTGGAGAATGTGACTGGCAGTCGCTGTGCCAGGTAATTACCTGGCTGCAGCAGCAAGTAGGAACCGTGCCATTAGGAAAGCTTATCAACACGTGCTCTGTGATCTGCCGCGCGGAAAGGCTCCTGGACGTCACTGGTTTCACCCAGGATCCTCTGGACTGACTGCAAGAGGAGGAAAGGGGCCCCATTTCCATCTGCGGGGCTTGGCTCCACGGGATGAATGCCCCCTACAAACACTGCACTCCCAGGACAGTCGGAGCTGTTCCCTGGCTGGGTGTTGGCTGTCCCCCAGGCTGTAGCCGGGCTGTTTCTGCGAGGTGTTCTCTCTTTCCTGTAAGGGCCGTCATGGTGAAATATGAAAAACCTCCAGCTGCTTGTCCTGAGTCCTGCAGGTGTCACTAGGAAGGCAGGAGCAGACAGGTAACACATCCACAAACAAGCTGTTTTCTTGGGGGAGCAGCCAGCAGCTCTGCTGGTTTTATGGTGAAAGCACTGCTTGTAAAACTGAGCTGTTAAAAGGGATTTTCTGCGTAGGAAGCAAATGCCCTGCTGTGACACCATTAGTCCATTTCCAGCAGTTCTGTAATGTTCCTTAGAAAAAAAAAAAACTGCGATCTGTGTAAGGTCAAGCACTGTGTGACAACTCCAGGAAATGGGCTTCATTGCCGAGGCTTCTCAGGGCAGGGACCCGATGCTGACAGAGCCTCTGCTACCACCCAGCCACTGGGATGCTCTCCAGCCCCGAGGAGACGCGTGGGGGCTGAGTCCTGTGAGGACACGAGGGCTGACGCGGCCAAGGCAGCTTGCTGCTTTCACTTGCCAGCTACAATCTGGGATGCTGGAAGAACGGCTCAGTGTCCTGTGCCTTGGTCAGCAGTTGATGTTTTCATCCTCCTGATAAGCAATGTGGGCTCTGGGAAAACCGAGAAAGCCCAGAAGACTCCTGATAACTGAAGTGCCCTTTTCTCAGTGCATTTTGAGCTGTAGGTCAAGCTGTAGCTGAACTATTCCCGTTCCTTCATCCTTTGGACCATACTCTGGTACAGGGCCTTAGAGAGACTGGGGGACCTGAAAGTTGGGGAGAGCAGGGGACACGCAAGGGACGGGCACTGACCTGTGCCACGTGGCAGTAAGTGGTGCTGGATGTGCCCGTCAGAGGAGAGGGAAATCTGTGCAGG